ATAAATAAATAAATAAATAAATAAATAAGTGTTGGTACAAAGAAATCTGGCTCTGCTTTTTTTAACATTATTAAAAATATAAATGATCACTATTTCTGTAAATATTGTTGAGAGATTTCTACCTTCCTATATTCTACACCACTCTACTATTGAAATTGGTAGGGTTTCCAACAAAGCAGGAATAATAAAGCTGAATTAGGAAAGAATACATTATGAATCTAGAGTTCTTTGGTCTAGATATCGAGGACTTAATTTTATCTATGTAGGTCGGAAAGAATAAAAATATACACAATACAAAATTTATGAGCACAAATTACATTTATCACTCAACTAATTGTATTGAGTCAATTCGGACATACCAACCTATAGGACAAGGCAGAACTGGCCCCTCTGAGTTTCTCCAAGGGTAGAAATATTTACAGAAGTAAAAAGCTTCACCTGTCTTCCAAGGAGTGGCTGACAGTTTCAAACTGCAGATTTTGATTTTAGTAGCTTAATGCAAACCCTACTATGCCACCAGGGGTCCCTCATATTTGATTTACACATGAGAATAATTAAACATATTGCTAATCAATTTGATTATTTGTCTTCTAAAAAGTGAATCTCAGAAAGGAAATTCCTTTTATTCCCCCACCCCCACCCCCAAAGTTCTGGCGTTAAAGCCCAGTTACAACATGTGTGTCTAATTTTGTGAGCATTTTTTGTTTCCTATGGAAAACTACAAAGTAAAATTTTAAATTATGAGTTTCATACTTAGTTTTAGCAATGTGCTTTAGAAGTTATATGGTTGTTGGTCAAGTAGACTCAGACTACCTCTATCTTTATTTCTCATGAACCTTCACAAGGAATTGTATTTAATCCATAGCACACTTCTCTCTCAAAATGAACCTTGCTAGCTCACATTATATTCCTTTGCACATAGAGTCCTATTTCCTAAATTTGGAATATCCTTTCTATTTCTTTTTTTATGTGAATGCCTAAGATCTTTCCTTAAGATCCAACTTACGGATTCTCTGTGGGCTTTTCTTGACTGCCTTTCGCCACTTCGCCCTTTGCCCCCAATTCAGGGGCGTTCATGACCTCCTCCATCTGTCATCTAGACATTTAGTAGAAACTTTAGCTTTTATCGATCTTTCTATTACTCTATGAGCTCCTGGAGGGTGTAGCTTCAGGTTTTCTAGACAATAACAAATATATATTAAATACACCTGTGTGCAAACTAGATTACTAACTGGTAAGAAAGAAACAAGATAGATCCTGCCTTCATGGAAGTCTGTTTTATGTTCTAACTGAGAGGACAGAGCCTAAATAATATAACTTATTGTTAGTATGTTTTAAGTACTGCTGTAGAGGAAAAAATTAAGATATTAACAGGAACAGCATTAGAGGAACTGCTGCGTAAGCATGGAGCTCAAGAATGAGTCGGCTTGGCTAGGTAAAGGGAGTGTGCCAGACAAGCAGTTGCACTGTGTGGGTCTCTCTCCCCGCTTTAGTATCAGGAAAGAAGTCTGGTGTGCTTGGTGCAGAGATGGGAGATTAGGTTTGTTGACAGGCATCTGATTTTACAGTGTTATCAAGACTATGTGGTAAAGAGTCGGGAAGAGTCCTTTCTCTAAGAAAAACGGTCACACACTGGAAGGCAGCTATGTTCACCACTATACCACCAATACTGCACGCAAAAATATGTCACATTGATGGGGCTGAAGCAGGAATGTGACATGACCTTTTCCATCCAAAGCACCTTCCCCAGCCTCCAATCCAGGCCATTCAGTCCATTCTGACTCCTAATGACCACATAGAACGAAGTGGAGCTGCTCCTTGGGGTTTCTGAGACGGTACATTTTTATGGAGCAGAAAGCTACCTCATTCTCCACATGGATCAGCTGGTGGGCATGAGCCTCTGACCCTGTGGTCAGCATCCCCAAATGCTTAGCCCACAGTGCTACCAAGGTTCTGCCAAAACACAGAGGTGCCCTCCTTTCAGGTTGTAGAAGTAGAGAAGTGAGCTATTTAAGGGGGATTTAGGAAGGCGTTAAAAACAATCCAATGATTAATTAGGTTTGAGAATGACTGACACCAATTAGGTTTGAGAATGACTGGGTTGGTGTTAAGGTGCCATTCAGTGAGAAGGGGGGTAGGCTTGGATTTAGGGGACATCCTGAGGGCAGTTTCAGACATGCTGGGTATTAGGTTCAATAACTTCTAGAAAGAGCAAGTAAATGCATGCATCAAGCATGGAACACAACACTCCATCCAGGCATAATCAACCTCACCTTGCAGAGTGCTGTGACGTGGCTTTATTTCCTCGCAGGAATATCATATTTATATTGAGATTTGAGTCAGAAATATTTATCTATAGCATCTCTCTTTAAGAAGAATAAGTACTTTGACCATAAAATATTCCAATAAAATAAACATCCCATTGAGGTATCTTTTGTTGTGTAGGCACTGTTCTACGCACCTTGTGTGCACTATTTCATAACGACCTGAGGGCAACCTAGAAGGTGGGTATTATTACCAACTGTCTTTGACAGTCGCAGCAAGTGAGGCACAGCAAAGGTACATGAGTCACTCAAGGTGATTTAAGTAATAAATGTTGGCGGTCAGGCTCAAATCTTGGCAAAACAGGAAGGAAAACCAAGACGACAGGGGAAATGCACTCGTTCTGTCTTGCTGCACAGCTGTCATAAGTGGGAGGGCAGATGCACGTCACCATACTTCATAGAAGATTTCATGTTCTCAAGTTCTGTAGGCCATCTATCACACGGGTATTGGCATGTTACAGGCTGTATCCCTAGTACCAGCTTTACAGTTTTATGTTTCTCTAATGGTATCACTGAACTCAAGGATGGTGTTCCAGGAAGGAGCTATGCCAGAGCTTCTCAAGACGGCTTATTTTCTTCATGACAGAATCTCATGGGGGCTCAGTGCTATATCTCAAGTGCACATTTCTCTCTCTCCTTTGTACCACAATATTTGGGTCCATAAACACGCAAACACAACACAGACACCTATGATCAATGGAACATGCCATAAGTTCCCCCTTTCCCGCTACAGAAACAGTGTCGTAATGAGTTATTGTTATCATGAGGAATATGTTATATTCCTCAGTTGTGTTAGGGCAGGAAATATATTGTTAACCTTGTGATCACGCTAATGCTGCTTAGATTTATAGACTGCCAGTAACGTAACACAATCTAAAGATACAGTTTGACATACTGTGCCCTAAATATGCACCGGACACTGTTTTTAGGGCTGGAGTAGAGGCACTTGGGTGTTTACCATCTACAAAAGAGCTATATAGTATGACCATATTTTATAAAGGAAAATTCATAAATTGTGGAAATGGTGTGAGCGATTTAGCATAGATACTCGGATGTAGCATGGAGAATGTGATCACTATTCTGAGTGTGGGCAGGGAAGGAATAGTCTGCCTCGAAGAAAGTTCTTTGCGGGCCAATAAAAGAACATGTGGTTAGAGCCACTATCAGGACTACCCTTAATAGTAGACAGTGTAAACACAATACGTAATTTATTTCGTTCAATGTTTACTATGTTATTACATCTGAGAAGAGCATCTAAAAATGGTTCTAATACAAATACTTGGATATTTCTCAGCAGGCAAGCATGCAATTAAATTGTCTTTAGTGTACATGGGGAGCTAAGCCACCATTTAGTTATCAGGAAGTTAAAACTAAGCAGTAGAGAAAACGGAATCTATAAACAAGTATCACCATCAGTAGTAGCCAGTAAGTACTTAATTACTGGGAGATTTTATACACACACACACATATGTATGTACATATACACACACATATACATACACAGATGGGATGCGTGCAAACACAATTTGCCGTTTCTGACGCCTCAGTTCAAATGACTGAGTTTTAAATGATATTGGACGGGAATGCCTTTTTATTGTGTTCAAGTGTTGTGGCCCCTGAAAACAGAATAGTCATAGGAAGTTTTTCCACCGCTACAATTTAACCAACAAAAGGGCTTCTTTTCAGAAGCAATTGGAGACTGTACTCTGCACCCCTAATACGCAATAGCTCTGACAAAAGTCATTCATGAGATGCAGAGTGTGGAACAGCTGTGAAGAGGAAAAGCCTTCTTTGGGCCAGAAGTCGGGGAGCCCCTGGAGTTCTCTTCTTATCATGAGCATTTCAGCATGCACTAATGCTATGCTGAATGTCCTTCTTGTTAAATGGCTGGAGCAGAGACCACCTCAGCATACTCCTGAGTGGTCAGGCAGATCTCCCCGTGGCTCACTGGCTGGCCAAACTGACCAGTTCAGTCTGCCCCATCCGTTAGCCCTCTTTTTTTGCCCTAAAAGTCTAAAAACAGGACAAGGAGCACCTTCAATCTACAGTCTATTTAGCAAATCCATCGCTCACTCCTGACCGGCCAGGCAAGTAGGCATGGGTACTCTTGTATTCCTTCAAATATACCTGTCCTGTTAATAGAAATGCTTGATTCCCAGTACACACTTGATTTTCGTCAGAGTATGAACAGTTCTGACCAGCTCTCCCTCTGATTATTGACAAAAAATAAGAACAGGAAATGAATGCTATTTTTTTAACTATGCTAGAACAATAATTCTGCCACACTTGAAATGTTTTCATTAATTTAAGGAATTTTTGTTTTACAAATTCGTTAAAGCAAATTCACTCCATGAGGCGTTCAAAAGAAATTGTACATAAAAATGTTTAAATCCATTCTTTCATTAGCAAATATTATGATGATTAAGATGCTGCATTCCAAAGTCCTACTCACAATATGTTAAGTGAAAAGCAGGCAAATACACACAATGTTAAAAAGTTAAAGATGGCTCTTTCCATGCAATGTAAGTTTTTGGTGTTTATCAATCCTAAAATTAAGGTTTATCACAATAAATGAAATTACATAGTTCAATGCAAGATATTACACTGAAATAAACAAGTAAAAAATGATTTTATTTTTATAATAATTTAGAAATAAAGTTGAAATTTTTCACTTACTTTCTGCTCTGGGTTTTCCTGAAACAAAAGTCCAAAGTAGTCCTTCTCTAGGAGATTAAGATGCTCGCAGACTTTGTCAAATAACACTTGTCCCTTAGCACGTTTCTGGAGGGAGAAATAGTGTCTTTACTTTTCAAGCACTGAACATTCTATAAGTGTTATAAATAAAAAGCTATTATCAGATAAACAATTTACTGTAAACTTACTTGTTTCCAACTTTCTCTTATAACAATAAGTCATAATTTTGTCACTATAATCTACATATATACATACAACACAAAGCATACATTTTATACTGAACTCATGCTGAGATGACCTCTGCTTTGTTGACCCTGTGTATAAAAATAAAAAGGGACTGAAATATGCAAATCCTTAGTTTATTTTTTTAAATATAAAAACATATGCAAACAACGATGAAACATACAACTTTCCTCTAGTTCCTAAATGCTTTCTCCCCCACCCCCACCCCCCACTATCATGATCCCAATTCTACCTTACAAATCTGGCTAGACCAGAGGATGTACACTGGTACAGATAGAAACTGGAAACACAGGGAATCCAGGACAGATGATCCCGTCAGGACCAGTGTCGATACTGGGAAAGTGTAGGGAAGGTGGGGTAGAAAAGGGGAACCTATTACAAGGAGCTACATATAGCCTCCTCCCTGGGGGATGGACAACAGAAAAGTGGGTGAAGGGAGACATCAGACAGTGTAAGATATGACAAAATAATAATAATTTTTAAAGTATCAAGGGTTCATGAGGGAGGGTGAGTGGGGAGGGAGGGGGGAAAATGAGGAGCTGATGCCAAGGGCTCAAGTGGAGAGCAAATGTTTTGAGAATGATGAAGGCAACAAATGTACAAATGTGCTTGACTGGATGGATGGATGGATGGATGGATGGATGGATGGATGGATGGATGGATGGGTGGGTGGATGGTGATGAGTTGTACAAACCTCCAATAAAATGATTTTTTTTTAAATAATAGGTCACACTTCCTCATTGGTTTCCTCTCACAAATAGAAACATGCCCTCCCTCATGGACTGAATTATCCAAAAGATGGGGGTGGTGCGAGGGACACAAAGTTTACTGTCCCAACTGGGTACTGATATGCCAGGTAGCATAGATGAGCAGCAGCACGAGGGTTAGAGTCAGACCCAACCATGTCAACATTTTGTAAGCACTTCGTTTTTACTAAGACAAACGTGACAGGAGGCAAAGCCCTTTATCGCCTTTTCTATGAAGGGGGTATACCAGCTATGCCTCAGGGTTCACTGTGAGAGACAAAATGCTAAGCAAGGTACCTCACCAGCCCAGCCCAACCTTTGTTCTTTCTATAGCCCTCATGTAGCAAACACCACAATACCTTCTAAATGCTCCACCTGACTTCTCTACTACTCTCTCCTTCCCTTTCCAGGACATGGCTCATCGAAAGGCTGAGGGATAGCCTCATTGCACACATAGATTACTTATGCTTTCATTCAGTCTCCAATATCAAAGTCTGATGGGATGATAAAAATGCAGTACTGTGAGGTACTTTCTCAGAGAGAAATGTTCAAAGAGCTATGTGAACATCAAGAATGGGATGAGTTCACTGTGTCTGAGAAAATGAGTTCTTCAGTGAGAATATGACATGTAAACCAAATATTAAAGGAAGAAATATTTTTTGAGACGATGGAAATAGCACAATCAAAAGAATTTACTTTTCATTATGGATACAGAGTCAGACAGAGCCAACTTCTATTAAAATTATACTGAAGATGCATTAAAATGAAAAAAAGAAACCCATCCATAATGGACAAGCCATCCAATATTACTGCTAGTGACACCATAGAACCCTGACAGACAAGACAGACAGAGACAAGACGCAAATGCACTGCCCTCAGTCGGTTCTGACTCATAGTGACCCTATAAAGCAGTGTAGCATTACCCCTATGAGTTTATGAGACTACAACACTTTACATGAGTAGAAAGCCCACTCTTTCTCCAGGAGGCTTCAAACTACCAACCTTGTCATTAACGGCCCAATGAATAACCCACTATGCCACCAGGGCTGGTTCATAAGGACAGAGGGGTTAAAGAGTTAACCCACTGTTAATCAGATACTGGAAATTTGACAGTCTGTTTTAGTTTGTTAAAACGCCAAATGTATCAGTGATGCTACCCAGCACTCCTCCTCATGCAGTTAAAAAAAAAAACCAAAACATTCAAACTTAATCAGTAAGGATATTCTAATTCAGCAAGTTTGGGCAAACAAAACCATCTGGGCAAGCAAGGCCATGTTGATAAGCAATGCAGTCTGAGGCCGTAAGGAGTGAAAGGCCCAAGGACGCCTTCTGCTCCCTGTGCACATGCCTCCTTTGTCCCGGTACTTGAAGTCCTTTTTCACTGTAACAACCTGTTGAACATTCCATATATATTTAATCGCTTTATTAGGGGCACATACAACTCTTATCACAATCCATACATACATCAATTGTGTAAAGCACATCTGTACATTCACTGCCCTCATCATTCTCAAAACATTTCCTCTCCA